AAAGATGAACAACCAGGTAAAAAGGCTGAAAGTTGATTCACAGAAGGATATCCAGGAGGAAGGGAGTGACAGAAGGACCAAAGATGAAAGACCCACTACTTTCACTGATAAAGACAAACACAATCTAAGAATGACAGGAATATGACTAGAAGAATACTACATGATCAAAAAGTATGGCCTGACAGGCAAAAGATCAGGAAAATACCATACATGAAGAAGGAGGGAAATTATCTCCTTATGAAAAAAGGGAAGTGTGAAGTTAAAGCAAGAGAGAGGGGATATAGTGTTGAGAAAGATGGGTCTGAGTGCTAAGTAAATCACGACTGAGCTGGCCAAAAAGGCATCAACAATAGGACCCAACAAGGAGTATTGCACTTCAAGGTGAGGATTGGAGGGAGGAAACAGAGAGGGGAATAGACATATAGAACAAGAAAAGGCCAAGCCCAACTGTGAATACTGACAGCCAGAGACCAAATACCAGAAGTCATGCTTTCATCCAGAAATGTGACTCAATTAAAGGGAAGCATCAGTGAAGAGACAGATCTGGTACAAGAGTCAATAAAGAAATTCTGAAAGAAACATGGGTATGGCCCAGTCACCATGACAGTTCCTTGATCACAAATGAGGACAATTGAACCCAAGAAAGAAGCATTCAGATTCACAAGGTCCACTGAGGAGGCACATGTATGCATGCTGCAAAGGAATGAGACTTCCAAAAGTAAAATAGCCACACTCACAGGAAGAGAATGAAAGGCACAAAACCTGGTGACCAGATACACTCCAGCTCACAAGTAAAGAGGAGAAGGCTGAACTTGGTCAATAAAAGAGATGAAGAAAACCCCCTGAAGTGTGCATATGAGAAAGGACTTAGAACACATGACAAGTCTCCCTAACCAAGTAGCCTCCTGGAAAAGAAGGGAGGTGACAGATGAGGAAACCATCCAAGAATGGGCCAACATAAGTCAGTCATCCAAGAAAAGGAACACCATCCTATAGCCGTGAATATGGCGAGTGAAGGCCTAGAAGACGCCATTGAACACAAAAGGGGCTGACACTATGTTGAAGGGAAGACAGAAAATTGATGGATGGAATGTAGAAAACATATGGAGGATGGGTTAAGAGTAATGAGTAGTAAGGAGTCTAACGCATCACACATGGCCAACTGCAGACTGGGTGAAAAAGACAATACATGGGGTTGGAGGGAGGAGAAAAAGAAATATGAAGAGAAGCAAAGATGAGCAATCAAGGTGGAGAAATGGAAAACAACTGTTGACAGAAAATGAGAATAACAGCAGGAGAAGGGATGGGTACCCATGAGGGTGAATGTGCCATGAAAGTCACTGAGAAGAAGAGCAAAGAACTAAACATCTAGTAGAGAGAGGATGAGAAAAAGAGGAAGGCCTGGAACCTGAACTGGGAAGGTTAGAGGCAAACTGATCCAGAAAAAGAATTGGGGTAAAGTTCAAGGATAAGAAAAAGAAAACCTGGGAAGATAACAAGGACTGAAGCTAGCAAAGATAATGGAATGAACAGAAAACTCTTCTGAAGTACAATGAAGTGCCTCAGACAAAAGGCAAAAGAAAGAGAGGGAATACGGGAGAGTAATGAGAAAAAGAAAAAATTCAATAATGGAGAATCAGAGAGCAAAATAGAAGGTAAGGGGTCCTAACTTCAAACTGGCCAAATACATACCAAGAACAGAGAATTGAGAAAAGAAAAGAAAAAAGGAGTCACAAACACAAGTGGGACAAGGTATTGGGGGAGAGAGAGAGCAATTAGAGAAAGGAAACAGTATAAATCTTAATAACAAGCAAGAAGGAAAGACAAGGTAAATTCCACAAATTGTTTACCCTGGAGTAAAAAAACAAGAAATAAAAAGGACACTCAAAAGATAAGGAAAGGAACATACCTAAGAATGAAATACAGAAAGATACTGGAAGGTTAAGGTCATTTCTCAAATAGTAAGGTACTACCCAAAGTAAATTATATGAAAGTCATAGTCCAATAGATCATTCCCAACTGAGGAGAAAGAATTTTGGCTGAAGGGGCAGGAGTAGGAGTCTCAGTAAGCATGCGGTAATCCATAATACATTGAACAAAGGCTGCAACATTCCCAACAGTTAACAAGCTTCCAAAAGCTATAGTGGAAAGAATGCCTGTGTATGAATAATGTCACCTAAAGTGAAACCTTTCAAACAAAAGCCAAAGTTTCGTTAACACGCAGATATCAACAAATTGAATACAGATGAGAAAATTAAACACATTTGGTCAATACAATGCTAAAGAAGAAAAATGAGCTTATACCCAATAGCAGGTGCATACGAGGAGTTACTGCAC